CCTTGTTCTGGCCTTGTCTTTTCTAGAGCTGATGCATCACTACCTCCCCGCCCCGCTCCTGCAGTGCCTGACGTACATACTCACACTCAAACACACGCTCACCCTCGTCCCAGTCTTCAAAGTAAATGTGGTCACACCATTCTTTTCCCTAAACCCACCCTACCTCCTCAGGTTGGCCTTCATACAATCAACCCTGCTCATCTGTAGCTCATCCTGTCCTTCCACAAAACAGTTGTGCACTCAACTACCCTGCTGCTTAAAGATTTACCCCATCAGAAACCCCATTCAAATGCAAGTCTCTGGTCATTTTCTGTGGTGTCCCATCTTGCTAGGTCTACTTAGTGCACTTCCCTTTGTGTTGGAAAACCTTCTCTGATCTCCTTTAACCTCTGGGATTACCATGTGCTCCTTTCACACTGTGTGCCTGTATTGCACTTACCTCATTTGTTCTGTGGCTCTCACTTCATATGCCCATCTCCTCCACTGAGCTCTCAGCTTCTCGAGAATAGACACCACATGCAATTCTTTTTTAAATGGTGAGCAACAAAGACAGGGCTTGGTACTACATTAACTGAAAGGGTGAAGACATGAAAACAGAAACGCAGCTCATCCCAGCCCTACCCCATCACCCACCCAGCCCTTCTCTCCGTACACATCCCCCACCCCCAACTTTCCTTCTGTGGGATCCCAAGCAATTGCAGGAAGTTCTGCCCCCGTCAGCTTCTCACTTCAGGCAAATCTTGGCTGGATGATGACATCATCACTCCTACTTGTTCCTTCTCTGCATCCACGTTCTTCATCACTTCTGCATTGCCTCGATTCTGAATAGTGCCCTTTCTCAACACCAATACTTATTCTTGCATTTCATGTTACATTTCACTGACTTTTACTTATCTGTTGCCCCAATAAACCATGGTCTTCTTGAAAGGAAGGATAATAACTAATTTACTCAGGATCTCCAATGATTTGAACACATCTTGGTGCTCAATAATGGCCTTCTGAGACTTGTCCAAATACTCACTGATTTTTCTATTTCCTCTATGAAATCCTGACAAATAGTCAGTCATCCAGACGTGCTTGAACACTCCTTACAACAGAAAGCTGTTTCCTGAGTCTACTGTCAGAAGACTTGGTGATGAAATTACTTTTTTTTAACTTTGATCTTTGGGACTTCTTCCAAGGGGTGCTATTTTTGGCCTTCATAATAGTAAGATGTGAGTCCAGTCTCTTACCCTGAGATATCCCCAAAGCCCTCCAAGTACCTGTTCTTTTCAAACTGTGTTGCTGATATGAATCATCTTGGGATCTTGTTAAAATGCAGCTTCTGATTCAGAAGATCTGAGATCCTGCATTTCTAAATAGGTGTTAGGTGGTCCAAAGGTTGCACATGGAGTAGCAATATTCCATCGATAACATTTTTCACAGGCTAGAGCTTCCAGTGTCCCACCTTCATCTTTCTTCAGGATAGTGCCCTTTCTCAACAGGTTGACTTTGCCAGACCTCCTTCAAGGGTAGAGGCACAGAAAGCTTTGCTATATTTCTTTTGTAGTGAAAAGGTGGTTGGTTGTAAAGAGCACTGGGTTTCAAAGCAGAGCACCCAGACTGAGTCCAAGAGTGTCACTACCAACTATGTGACATTAAGGAACTCAGAGAAATTAACCTTTTAGTATCAGTTTTCTTATTAAAAAAAAAAAGGAGATATCCAATATCCAGTGGCTGTGTCCAGTTGGATCAAGGATTGTGTGACAGTGAAAGGAAGTACATTCAATTTGTGGCAGTGTGCCATGTATTTGGGAGTCATTATTTAACCTTTATTACTGTAGCTTAAGGTTTCACTTTTTTTTTTGCCATTTATATCAGAAAGTTGCAAACTCAACTACTGAACCCCTCAAATCTTTAATAATAATTGCTATCTAGTAACACCTACTAGGTACAGGCACTAAACTAGGTGTTTTAAAGTCTCAGAAGTTTTCACACACCAAAAATTAAAAAACAATTTTCTTCTCTATTTAACAGCCAAGGCTGGCTGAATCTGACCTTTGGTCTTCCTTCTCCATCTGTACACATCAGAGAAGACACGCTTTATCAGAGAATACCATTTCCAGATAAAGTTAGACTTTTCAAAGATAAAAGTGTCTGAGAAGTTGATCTACCCCACATCCAGAAGGAGTGGTCGGAGTAGAGCAGAAAGGAGTCCAGGATTCTAAGGAAGCTTGTTGGTATGACCCTCGGCTTCCAAATTAGCACTGATTTAGATGGAGTCATCTCCAGGCCTGGCCCTGAAAGGCTCTCTGGGGTCTGTGGAGATGCCAGAGGCTGTGGGCCTGCATCGGGGAAGGGTAGCATTCTTTCACACACATGCAGGTGCACATACCAGCAGCTTGAGCTCATGCCTAACATCTTGGGTTCCAAGTAAGATTTGAAGAATTGATTCTGTTTCAGTTGCTCCCAAAAGGTTGAAAGCCATTTGAACTGTATAGTTGTTGAAGCAACTTACGACTTACTCATTCTGTGAAAAATCTACTTCACTGTAGATAGGTGACTTAGTGACTATCAAACATCAAAACTCATGAGGAAGATTGGAAGATAGATTATTTTCTTTTCTCTAGCCCAGACTGACCCTGGGAATCTTTTTCAGTAGACTGGCTCCTGGCAATTGGAGAGGTAGAACATTTCAAATAATTTATTTCCATCAACAAGTAGAGCTTACTTGGCCCATTTACTGTAAATACCCAGAAACAGCATTGTCAAGCATTCAGTTAGTGTTTTAGGGATTTGTATTTCTCAAAGTTCCCCCTATACAAAGAGGTTTCATTCAAATGTTCTAATCCACATTTTTTTTTAATAGCAAGAACTATTGTATACAAACATGGAAAAGATTTTTGCTTCTCAATTTTGGGATGCGTAAAATTTCTACTGTTAACAACACAACTTCTTTGGCCCAACAAATTGAACTGTAGGTTTAGCATAACTTAATTTTCAAAATCTGGGCTTTTCTTTCTTTAAGAGCTTAGAAAATTGAGTTCAACAGCATCTGGAGATCCAGCTCAACCAACAAAATTTTACAGGTCTAGCAGTGAGAGAAGTATATGTGTATCTAATCTCTGTCCTTAAGAACACAATGTTCAAGTGTGGGGGTATGTTTTCTCCATCAATCTATAAAGAACTCCAGAGTAGAACCACATATTCACAGGATATTACAGAATGAATTCTACTATTCATTGTACGTACAAGGAGACGTACAAAAACAGTCTAAGCCTACAACTATGTTGTCTAACTTCTAAAAGGGTTTACAATGATTGTTCCTTTGTTAATGAATTCATTCACTTAATGAAAGGGGCTGACCCTACTGTATACTAAGTTCTGATCTAGTGTCTGGGACTCAGTGCTAAACAGGCAGCATGTCCCACACAGAGATCTCAATTTAGAGGGGAAACAATTACTTTAGCCTTAAATGGAAGCCATTTAAATTCCCAAAACAGCTAAGGTGTCCCCAGTTCACGTCACTATCTTGTGGCTTTTTGTTACTACTTTATTTTTTTAACTATTAACATTAGGCTTATTTGGCTATCACTGGTTTTCCCATTTGTCTTCTTCACAGGATGCAGTCCTGGGGTCCACACTGCATTTAGCTGTCCAAACTCCCAAGTCTCCTCTGATTTGTGAGTTTCTCAGTATTTTCTTATTTTTCATGACCTTGAGAGTCTTGAGAAGTACTAGTTCAGTACCTATCCTGTAGAATGTCCATCTGGGCATGTCTGACGTTTTTCTTACCATTAGACTGGAATCAGGGGCTTGGGAGAAGAAACCTACCTCTGCTATTTTCTTATCACATGATAGGGGTTCTAACACAACCATGAGGTATCACTGATGACAACTTTGTCACCTGGTCCAGACAGTGTCTTCCAGGCTTCTCTGTAAAGCGACAATGGTTTTCTTTTTTGGAAGTCATTAAGTCTAGCCCATCTTCTAGTGGGAAAAGGGTTAAATTCTACCTCCAAAAGGAAGAGTAATCCAATTCCAATTACTATTTGGAATTCCTCCCTAAGGAGTATTTGTCTCTTGTCTATTTTGATTTATATAAATGATTATTGCCATTTATATCAGTGTGGATTCATGGATATTTTTTATGTTGAATTATAACCCAATCACCCAAGGTTACTTCTTTTGTTACTCAAATCATCGTAGCTTTGCCAACTGGAAGCTAGTTTGTTACTATTTCTAAAAATATCAGTTCTAAGGAGTTCCATCTGGGTTAATTCCTTCTAATCCAACATTCTCAAACAGTAGCTGACCAACAATGATCTCTAATACCTATCCTAACATCCTCTCCTGCCTAATCATACTGGAATTTATTCACATTAATCTTTTTATCTCAACAGGTCTTGTGTCATGAATTTATCACTCTTCCTCTGATAGTGGAGAAAGCTGCAATCCATTTGTGCAAATCAGGTAGCATGCCCAATGGCCTTGTTATTAACCAATCAGACTGAGTTTTTGGAAGATGGTTTGCTGTACTCCAACAATCCATTTAGCAGCACAAAATAAATACACAACTCTTTCTTGGATACAGAAAAGCAAAATTTTAGGTAGAAGTCAAACAGTGAACCAGGGGTCATAAACCTAACAACAATATAAGGGGACATTTGTATTCTGGTACTTCTTTCACAGTACACTTTTAAACTTTTGCAAATATATTTTCAGGTAAGCCTGCATATGTTTTATTTGATATTTTGTTTATGGTCCATTTACTTCTCCTACAGATAACTGCATTATTAATAGGTACCAACATTAACATTTTCCTGATTTTTCATAGTGCCAATTTCTTGGGGAAAAGTCTACTTGTCAGGAAAATGTTACCAATTCTGTTAGAATTTTCCAGTGAGCCATACTCAAGATGACCATTCACAGTACTTGAAACTTTGCTTTTTTCTCTATATGCACCCAAGACAGCAGCCTTCGAACATAGTGGGTCTTCAAGTACAAAGACTAAATAAAAATGTGCTTGCATAGTTTATTTTTAAAGTAACTTAAAATACAGTGTAAACATACATTAAAGATATTGTGGCAATTTAGACTTGGAATAACATCAGGTTATTTACATGTTTGTGTATGTGTGGTGTACATATATACACAAAGTGCAGATAAACACAGCAACACTACAAAATAAACAAAAAATTCAATGATAATTTACTGACATTTTTATATTAATTTGTCATGTTAATGGCTACAAAGACATTCCTAGTACTGAAATAGAATATCTAAATATTCAACTCTTATATAAACTATAGAACCTCAAATTTTAACAGTATATAAATAGGATTCAGAATTTTTTTTTAAAAAAGTCATCTTCCCTGCCAAATTCCCTATTTACTTGTAAAGGTTCCAGCCCAGAGCTCAAAAAGGCCCTTGAAATCACAACCCTCAATATGAAGTGATACCTCAGATTTTAAGTCTAAGTCATATAAAAGGGGGTGACTGAAGACAAGAGGCAGATAAGAAAATCTCTAACATGCTGCCATACACAAAACAGGAAGAGATTGAGCAGGTTCACGTCAAAGCTGGGTCACTCTCAACCTTGGAAGAGTAAAGAGCTTGGAAAACACTGCCAAGCGATGGTGAATAGTAGACAAGGGGACCAAGGGATCATCTAAGGTGGCATCTGCACCTTGGGCCCTACCTCTTCCCAGCACTTACATTCCTCATACAGACCTGTACATGACCTTCTTGGATAATGGAGGACATTTATGCTTACAATAATTATAAATGTCCCCCACCTTTTGTGACTCAATAAGCACACAGCCTCCATTTCTCCCGGGAGCATGAAGAAATTCTCAACACCTGAACGTGACGTCTCTTTCGAGTGTCAGGAAGAAAAATGATGACCTCTTGGGCCCCTTAACTCATTGAAAAAGCTTCTAAGCATTGGTCTAGAATATGAAGATCAGTTTTCTAACAGTGGCTTGCTGTGACTATCAACACTGAGATTCTATATTTAAAACAGTGGATGCAGCAGGCCTAAAAAAAATGAAAAATGCTATTTATTGCTCTGATCCTCTACAAGTCCATGCCATTCATAAGCCTGAGACTGCCCGAGGTTACTACCAAGTAGAACCTGTACTTTTGAAGCAGGGAGCTACTGGTGACAACAGATACGGTGAATGTGTCCAGGAGACATGCAACTAGTTGATAAATACCTGATATTAAATCTGTGGATCAACAGGACATGTGGAACAGAGACTTCAGAAAGGTTGGCCTCATTTGTAAAACATATTTTGATTTTGGAAGGTAATGAAAAAAATGTCAGGCAGCAAGAGTAAATAGCAATTTCTATCCTATGTGGGAAACCTTGAGTCAAGAAGAAAATAACTTCTGGACAAAGTCAAGTCTGCTTTTCCTCTTTACCAAGAGATGTGATTTTGGAGTCCTACCCAGAGATGTGAAGTCTTATTAACAGCTGCAAATTACCAAAGTATTATAAAAATAGAGAAAAAAAATTTGTTCCTAAACTGGTTTAAGTCAATAAAATATAAATCAAATTAGGGTTCTAAGTGTTACCAAAGCATCCTGAAAACATGATTGCAGAGCACACAGCAACTGAAGTTGCTTGAAGAAACTGAGGGCTCCTCCACGCCAGTATGCACGTGCATGGCGGCCTTCCACCATCGACACAGACCTAAAGAATGAGGCTGGGGGAGGGAGGGTCAGCAGGGGGTTATCCTCATAGGATTATGGTGCCCGACTTTTTTTCCTTACAACACAGTGGATTTTTTGAAGGTGTGCCACAATGTGTCAAACAAGTACAGAGTAAAAATAAAACAAAAGTCATTATGTATCTTTATTTTTCCTTTGGGAACCTGGAAAATTTGGGATTGTAAGGTACATTTTCTTTTTCTCCACCATCACTGAAAGAGTCAGTGAACAAGCCATTGTTGAGAAACCTGGCTGCCCTCATTCACATCACAAAGCCCACAGAGCTAACCAACTAGCAAAACCACTCACATCAAACAAGGAGATAGGGCACGTCCTCACGCTTGACATACATACAAAGATTATTTTACTGTTCAGACATTTACACTTAACACAACAGAAAAAGCCTTCAGTTGACTGACTAGTTTCTACAAACTTGGTGGCGCTATGGCACAAGTCACCTGTTCAGTACATAAATGCCTTGTACTCAGAGATATTTTCAAATGGTACACGAGATGTTTGACTGAGCCTCATCCATTTCCTCCGCACACTGACTGGTCTATCAACAGCAGTTAGGGTGCCCACATTGTGTATTTCAAAGGTGTGGATGTGGCGATTCCAACCTCTTTGCATTGTCTCTGAAAAACTAAGGTTTCATTTTTGAAATGTTGTTAACAAGTCTGAATGTCACCCTTTTCTAATGACTGGCATTACTTTTTCGGATAATTAATTTTCCATGTTAGAGCACACATCTTGTTTTTTTCAGTACTCATAAATACCTTATCTACGGGAAATCTGTGTCTAGGCAAAGGCAGTTTTCGGCCGTCTCCAGCACATAGCCATGACTTGCTTATACATGCAATCAACATGAAGAAAAAAGACCATCCTCACAAGTCTGTAAGATGAGAACTTCAAACAAAAGAACACTTTGCACAGGCCCTTGTGTTAGTTTGTTTCAACAAGGGACCACAGTAGTATTGGCACCATACATGCCTCCCCACCAGGAAGGAGAGCTGGGATTCTCACCCATGCCCTATATACACAGCAAAGCGCTCAGTCCTCACTAAGCAGCAGGGAAATTAGCTCACGCAGAGGCGGGAACACTCTGCTCTTTATTAAAATAAAATGAAGGTTGAGATTTCTTTATGTAGCGGCAAGTCAAGTAGAATGCTGACTCTCTTTGGAGTCAAGCTGGTCATGGAAAGAAAATCAATTTGCCTTAAGAGGTTCTAATCTAGTAGGATGACAGATGACGGCTAGGGTGTTTTAGCTGAGGGTGTTTTAACTTCAGACTAAGGGACTGGTATGCTGAAGAACTGCCTTCCGTTCCAGCAGAAGGTTGTCAGGGTGTCCACCTTCCTAACTAAGGGCCACCAAGGAGCGAGAGACCTACAATCTCTAGCAACATCTGACTGTAGTATACAAAGATCAAGAGGTAAAAGAAAAAGACAACCATTTATCATATTTCTTCATTATATTACTAATTTTTATAAGTTTAAATATCTTCCATTCCTTTTATGTCTGGTTCGGACTCTGCCTACTGTTGCTCTCTTTAACTTTCAAGTCCTAACTCTTTATTCTATTTTAAAAAGCATACATGCTCCAAGGCATACCTGTGTATGTGTGTGCCTATACGTTAATCTGCTAATTCTAGGAACATTCATTTAAAGTAATAGAGACTGAGATTATAGACTATAATATCACATAAAAAGAGTTTTCTCCAGTCAATACCTGAGTGTCTGTACAGTGCAGAACTCTGAAGGAACATGTAAAATACCACGGCCCAGCAGGCCAGGATTGTGGCAGTCAATGGCAGCTCACCAGCTTCTTGGAATCTTGAAAAAAAGGTTTTTTGCCACATGCAGATATTTACAGAATAATACATTAGAACAATTGAGATAAAAATAGAAGTAATGGTTGGTGCATGACCAGGTGCTGATGGTTTATATAAGTGGGTAGTAAATACGTATTTCTATGCTCTAAGAATTCAGTGAAATTCCTAATAAAGGCTGTAAATTGAAAGGCATAATAGAAAATCATATACCGATTTTATTCCTGCTAAAGATAATGAGACAAATTCAAAGTTTGTTGTTCAAAATAACTTAAGAATTCTGTACCTTTATGTTTAGATTCTGTTGCAACTAAGCATAGACTTTAAAAGGCATAGCTTCTCTATTTGTCTTAAAATGTCTTTATCATTTATAGATTTTCTCAAAAGCTGAAATCAGATATTAATACTGATACTTTAATGTTACAAGTAGAATTTAAGTTGTATGCCTTTATACAGTACTTTTATACTGTTTTCCTATTATTGTAATTATACCTTTGTGATACCACTATAATGCTACTAGCAGAGGGTGTATGTTTACAATTTATCAATATTTATATGTTCATATGGTAACATTTCACAAAATCCCCCCGTTATATAGATAATTTTACATATCCTCTACACCAAGGGTCAGCAAACCACGACCCCATGAGTCAAATCTGGCCCATCGCCTGTTTGTGCACAGCCCATCAGATAAAAACATTTATAATTTTTAATGGATTTGAAAAAGTAAAAGAAGCATAATATTTCATGACATGTGGTAGTTATATGATTTTCAGATTTCAGGGTCCATAAATAAAGTTGTCTTGGTACAGAGCCATGCTCATTTGTTTACTTACTGTCTATGGGTGATTTTTGCTACAGTGGTAGAATTTAATACTGTGATAGAGACTACAGGGCCTGCAAAGCCAATATTTACTATCAGTTCTTTAACAGAAACAGTTTGCTGATCCTTGCCCTCAGTCCATGGAAGGTGTCTGGAATGCTGGCCGGCGTGTTTACAGTGGAATCAGTGTATGACTTAATTTGGCTTCATTTACAGACATCATATACATTATTGCTTTTGAGTATTATCACCTACTTGGTAAACAAACTTATGTTAAAAAGAAAAACAAAACTTATTTCCTTGAAATGTTTAGGACCAGCAAAACAATCATATATATAGAAATAGTATTTTTTTAAGAAAAAAAACCTAAATGAATGATTTAAATTACATTTTTAAGTAATCCTCTGAAAGTTCTGCAGAGAATGCCAGGCAGTGAGGGAGATCTCAAAATCCTTATGGCAGATTTCTTGTTTCCAAATCTCTGGGATAGAGCACACAATATTTGAGATACTATAATTGTTATGGAAGACACACTGGGAAAGTTACTTTAAAAAGACGAGATTTTAAAATAAGAACCCCCCCGCCCCTCAAAAAAGTAAAAGAATGGCAAACAATTTAAACTTTTTCTTTTCCATTAATAGGGAGCTCCATAATCTCCTGGTGTTGAACTTAATAGAAATTGACTGTTTTCATTTAGTGGGTTAATCCCCTATCTGTGTCAGATAAAATCAGAGCACTTATTTATTTCCATGGATACCATGAAGATACTGCCATCCACTAAGTGGTATTAGAGGAAGACAACATAATTTTCTGGAACTAGTCCTGTTTTGCCTTCATAAGTTGCCTTCAACCATCCTGGTTCCACTGATGGGTACACTGGCAAAAAAATAAAAAATTAATGTCACTGTCAAAATTAGTTTCAAATAATTATACCCACAAATGGGTAAAAATCCACATCAGGTTGCATGCACACATTCAAGGTGCCAAGCAATGCCAAAGCACCTTTAAAGCTGGAAGAAGTCCTCTGCATTCATGTCATTCTTTCTCTCTGGAGAAACTGGGCCCCGAGGGCTGGGTTCAGTTCTGCAGTTTATGTGAGGCAGAACCTGGACTAGATTCTGAGTCTCCTGGCTTCTGCTTTAGATTCTTACCCTTACACTACTCACTCCTTCTTCCTCCCAACGACAAACTTAAGCAAAGGAAATGGGGGATGGGGGAGCTTACCGTTAGAAAACACCGCCCCCTGTGGGAAGGAGAGCTCGTGGCTGTGTTCTGCTTTGCAGGAGTACATGGCTTTGGCTTGGCTGAAAGAATCAAAGACAACTGTGTGAAACCCACAGCACTCACCTCAAGTACATTTATATTCCTAACTATTCTTAAAAAAATATTACCAGTTTTTAGTTGAAATGTGGACTATAATATCAAGGGCAATGTAAGTGTGTATAAGTGTACTTTTCAAAATCTGAATACACTGGTATAACCAGATCAGGAAATCAAACATTGACAGTACACCAAGCCCTTATTGTGTTTCCAGACAATGCCCCCCAGGGTGACCACCTGCCTTATAACAAACAGGGTAAGCTGATTTTAAAGAATGTATTATATGTTAGTATGATGCTCAACAGGCTACTCTTACAGCCATGCGGAGGTTTGCAGGTACCCTAAGCCTTGTGTTTTTTGCTGCTATCATTTCAGACTACCAGATGAGAGACCCCCAAATGAAAATGTGTACAGGGTAGAGCAAATAAGTTAAATGGGCATGATGTAAGAACAACAGTAGAACAAATTGATGGTAAACGGCAACCATCAACAGTAAGGGAGACAATGGGGATGGATGGAGGCTCTGCAAACCAGAGTATACTCACCGCCCAAAACAGGCGAGCACTCAACTCCCAACATATGTTATCAGATGAGAATTCGGCTCAGCGCAGCCAGACATTGTTTTTTAAGAGAAGCCAGAATTTCAGAGTTTTATATGCGATCTACTTAAAAACACCTGAGCTAACACTAAGAAGCTATTTAGTTCTGAGGCTGCTATTCTAGTCTCTAGTCACCTTCCTCCAGTCAACTTGGCACCACCCAGTTACCCCGGGGAAGATGTGCGACTTATCCTGCCTCCACCTACTTCTCACCAGCTCTGCCTCAAGCTGAGTCTGGGCCAGAATGATTTCTGACATGGCTCACTGAACGGTTTCCCAACTTCCTAGATCTTCTAGGCTTCTTTTAACCCTTTGCAACCCATTCCATACAGGGCAGCCAGAGGGCAGCTTGAAAAGGTTCTGATGGTCACATGATGATCACATAATTTCCCAGAATACATCCCTTCAACTGGTTTCCAATTCTAGCCTCCACACCATGCAGCCAGGTGCCTGTTAGCACCTCCTGCTTCTTCCATTCCTGCCCCTGCTTACCTACCATCGTCCAGTCACACCAGCCCTCTTTCTCCTTACACATGTCAAGCTCATACCCTCCTCAGGGTTTGCTGGGCCCTGCACGGGAAGTTTTCCTGGAGCTTCACATGGCTATGCCTTCTAGTCCATCTTAAACTTCCGGAGTTTTGCTGAAGCCAGGACTCCCCTAACCACATGCTCTGAAACAGCTGTCTTAGTAGCGATCACATTTTCCTGCAGGATATTAATGTCTGGGTATTCTGCTGTCATTGTTGATATTTCTGTTATCTTCCCATGCCCCACCCCTCAACTAGAATGCGAACTCCATGAATGATGCCTGATGTTTACTAGTAACTCAGTAAATACTTGCTGAATGAGTGAGTGGGAAAATAGGGTAGATGCTCTGGGCTCTTTTTCTATATTATAAATTCCTTTAAAGATTTGATTGTCTCTCCTCTCTAAGGTCCCAGATGGGCAAAGAAACATCCACAGTATTTCCTGTCTGCAGCTCTCTCAAGGCAGCCATGTTACACTATGATTTCATTTCCCTGTAGGAACTACAGTTTGGGTCTTCTTGTTACACTTTCAGAATGATGCTAGCTCACTAAACTGAGTTCCCAAATGGCTATTGGAAGATTGGAAGCTTACAGAGGAAAACTATGGCCATGCCCCGGAGCTTCATTCATGTGAGGTGAGTCTCAGGCTGAACTTGCCGAAAGTCTGCTAGGAGATCCTGTAGAAGACTATTAGCTCACACAGCGCCATTTCCCAGTGCAACAGGGTCTAAGGAAGAACTGAAGTGGAGGTACCTAGAGAAGGAGAAGGCTTTATGCTAAAGAACCATGTGCAAGTGTGTGTGCACACACACATGTATGTGAATGCATGCACTTGGGTTACTGGTGGGCATGGGAAGGGGAGGGGAGAAGATAGTACCAAATTGCAGAGACTTCTAAGAATCAGACTATAGTAATGTTAACTAGAAAAAATATTAGTCTTTCCTATAAATCTTCTAGCCAAGATTAATCATTTGATCTGATATAATGGTTGCAGAGCTATTTTCCTAAAAATCTCTAGATTTTTCAAAATATCAAATTGTGTAACAGCAACAATTTCTTCTGATAAATATTCTTAGTGCTTTGTATTATTAAATGGAGAGATGCATAGAAATGATTAACATATAATGATCTTTGCAGTCATAGAAATGATTAACGTATTACAACTCCTGCAATGGTATGTAATTTCTGAATTATACTTTAAAATGCAACCAAACTATTTTTATTAATATTTCAGACATGAATGGTTCTATTTTTTAAGATTGGATGGTGAGGGGAGGCATACAGCAAAATTATTTCACTAAATAAATGAATACTGTGAAATGTGTCAAAAGTGCACAGCACAATATCTGTCATGACTTTCCAATTACCTGTGCATGTGACTAGACAGGTGTAATTTTATTCTGCTGAGATCTCTAACTAGGTGTTAACTCAGCAGACAGCTTTGATGATGTAGTGTAGACTTCTGCGACAGTGAAGTTTTCTTTAAAGGTGCTAATGCTTTCTCTTTTACTGCCTTGGTATATTGAAGATAACAATAACACTGTCACCTACCTACTGAGTCTCTCTGCAGAGATGATTCTAATATCCTTAGGAAAGGATTTTGAAAATCCTGTTTCTTATTGCAGGGGAAAGTAAGGTAACAGATGAAAGCCATTTCCTCCCTTATCATCCAGAAGATGGTTTGTTTACAAGGCAATTTCTAATTCTAAATGCTGTCTAATGCTGATGAGTAGACATACAAAGGTTTGATGGGGTCAGTGTGCAAAATCAGAAATGCTTATCTTACTCATCAGCAAAATAAAAAAATTCACCAAATCAAAATTGATATAATGTTCTCTGGAGGGCCACTTAACAATGATACACACACTCACATACACAATCTTTTTGTATGCTGAGAATTTCACTTCTGAAGGGAGTAGGAATGCACTCAGGTATAATCAGGTATAATGCCAAAGAAGTAAGATAAAAAAGCTAAAAAAAAAAAATCACAACAATCTAAGTGTGCATCAGTAGAGGATTTAGTAAATAAAATACACCAATCCAAAGAAGTATGAGGTTGCTACCTGAAATAGTGCTGGAGAAGAACACGTGACATGAAACAGTGTCAGTGAGGAAGGCAAAGTGTTTACAGGAAATGTGTCCATGGCAACCCCCGAAGTTGCCCATAACTGTTTACTATGTACAATAAACACTGCATTTACTTCTGAGTCCCTGGCTGGAGATTTCTTAAGATTAGTCACATGTCCCTTTCTTAGGTTTTTGCTAACAAATACTGGCCATTTCCTGTTTGGATGTCTGAGTACTGGAGGCCTCAATGCTAAAGAACTGAGTTAAAAGCTGGAATGAGATAGTGAGTTCCCTGTTCACGGTTCTTTCCCTGTGCTTACCACAGGAGTGATTTCAAAGTACAGTTAAGGGAGAACTGGATGGGACCCTGAGAGGACTCTGCTCTGTGAGCCAACCGAATGTGAATGAGAATCTATTTATTTTCAAATATTAAAGAGATCTGCAAAAATGTAAAATAATGTAACTCCCTTTATTTTAGAAAATAATTTTCCTAAAACTTGTGATGTGCACTCCTGTATCATGGGGTGTGCTGTTGCTACTGTGCTGCCGGTGCCTTGGTGGGATAAAGGAAGAGAAGCATCTGGGCTCTGAAGACCCAGCATCATTAAGGACGGAAGCAGAATGCGATATGTCGGGTGCAGGGCAACAGCACGGAGCGGGGTTCTGCATGGCCTACTCACAAGTGGATTCAAAACAACTCCTATTGTCTCAAATGCATTAGAAATGTGGCCTTTGGAAGTGCGAAGAGGTGGGGAAGCTAGACCCTCTATGACTAGGGGGTAGACGCATAAACCATCGAACTTGGTTTTACAGAGAAGGATGGCTTCTGCATGCAAGAGGACTTGTGATCATCCAGGCGACTTGGGTCATGTAAGTTTGAATTTTGAAAGGAAACATGTATTTCCTTGGTCTACGTTATATAGAAATGAAGGCCAAGAGAAATTAAAGTTATGGCAGCATCAGGCTAGAACCGACATCTCCCAATTGATGATCTAGTACATTTCTGGTGATTCCACTGGACTACAATTTGTAAAACCTTAAAATCACTGGAAAAAAAAATGCATCTGTTATTGATAATTTGCTGACTGTTAATAAGTGAATAAACACAACTGTGTCTTCTAACAAAAATGTTGCTATTAACCTTTAGTTACATGAACTTATTCTTAGTTTAAATAAACTCAAACATTTTTTAAGTTTATCAGTTTAAATTTCCCATACAATAAAACTTACAAATCAAAGCTTTTTGGAGGTCGTCAGTGATTTCTTTTTTAAGTGTATAAAGGTGTTCTGAAACTGGAAAGTTCTAGAACCACTACCACAGAAGAATTTAAAAGGCTGTGTACCAAAGCGTTAACAGTGGTTATCTTCGGATGATGGAATTAGACATGGTGTTTATTCACTTTAGTTTATTAGCATTTTCTACAGTCTCTAAAAGAAAATATTAAGTTTTTCTTTTATTTATTTTTTTTTTCAAAAAATCATGGCTTCTTTGGTCTACCTTACATGTGTCATAGCGCTTTACTTCATGTGTGCCTTACAGGTGTCATTGTGCCATAAGCCAGGGACCTACAGTCTTCTTAACACTCAAATTCACTGGACAGGACAATTTTGTTGAGCTCTGTCTTGGTGCTTTGCAATTATAAGTAAAATACTCATTTTTTATACTATGTTAACAGCAATATTTGATTACCTATATAATGAGCTAGGCACTCGATTCTCTTAATTTCAAGCACTTAATTCTCAATTGAACCTTGAGAAGATACGTGTATAGCTTGCCTAAATTATATGGGTTATTCCTGAGCATAACCCAAGGGAAAAGCTTCAGAGGTAACAATTTTCTGCTTAGGAATCTACTAGGTACTGTGGCATTTTTCTCTATTCCAATGGTTCTGAAAACAGTTTTTTTTTTGGTGCATAAAAATCCCTTGGGGGAGGTTGTCAAAAACGTATTTTCTCTAGGCTGCTGTCTCAGATATTGTGGTTTACAAATTCTGGAAAAACTTAGGAATCTTCATTTTAACAAATCTTACAGTGATGTTCCCTTGCAGAGCGGCCCCTCTTACTCCACGGAACCTGCTTCCCTGAAGATTTCCAGCGACGTCAGAGGTCAATGCCAGCGCTCTCCTCTAATGACCTCCTTGCTGTTTTTGTTTCTACCACACTGACAAACCATGCTTTCTCCTGCTCAGTCTTTCACATTCTTCTTTTCCTGACCCTTAAATAAAACTGCCCCCCAAAGATCAATGTACATTTAAAAAATTTTTTCCATTCAGTAAGCCCCGTCGCTGGTTCCCCTCACCTCTATGCAATGTAAGTGCCGTGCAGAAGGCTCTCAAATGGCACCAAATTCCACACTCTCCCTGGTTCCAGCTGCACATTTCTAATCACCTCTCAATGTTCCTCAGACTCTTCAAATATTATGGCTAAGACTTTCTTTCCACCCCATGTAGTCAGAACTTGAGATCAAAAGTTAAATTCTTTCTGACACTCAGTCTCAGATACTGGGAATCTTCCTGTATCTCATTCCCAGTATCAAAGCAACTGTCAAATACTGGTCCTATCCATATGCTTCTCCTGCTTGTGCTATTGCCCTAATCAAGGCCCTTTAAATCTCACCAATTCCATCCTAAATGGTTAACTGTTCTCACCCCTTCAGAACCTCCTAGAAAAGCCTGAACTTCCTGTTCAAGTGATCACTGAATAGATCCCCCATTTGTTCAATGACTCTCAGAGCCTTCAGTGGTTCCCAGAAGTGTAATTTTTCTGCTGCTGAAGGCCATCTACTATAATCTCCCTATCAGCCTCTTTCCCAAAGTCTTCCCACTACCCACTGCTGGTTCTACCACTCCACAAGGTCCATTTCAATTGTAACCCTGAGTTCCCAGAAGGAAAATGAAATAGGCACTGTAGGACATTAGCAAGGGAAATGCCCTCGACTGTATCTGTTGTTCACTTGTATTTAATGATACAAAAGAGCATCAGGTGGCTGTTAAAGAGTTAGTGTGACTAAATGCTATTTATGTAGTGATTAAAGGCTTGACTATCTTAAGCAGTTTCCATAATAATTATGACAGTAATAGTTATTATTGTAGAGACCATCTACAGGGAACTTACCATGTGCTTCAGATACATCACTATGTACCTCTGTAACAGTTTGCCAAAAACAGAATTATGGCTTTCATTTTATCGACAAAAAAAATGGAGCTTCCGAAATATCTCTACAGTTAATACAACTAGGAAGTGGTGGGCCAAGACTGAATGTGAGTCTGTCTGACACTGACGTCCACTGTGCTTATCTCTTGGTGAAAAGTTACACCATCAACAAGTGCTGCAGAGTGGCTGACAGAAAGACCAAAATGTCCAGTGTGCCCCTAAGTGAGCTCTAAGTTTATGCTGACAGCCCATTAGAAGTGGATTTAGAGTATTTAGAATGCAAACGCACATTTAAAATGCATGGGTTGATTGTCGAACACAGGAGTATATCTATTATATGTCAGCATTCTGATCTACTTCTATAACAACTCGCTTTCTTAAAGCTGTTAAAGGATTCTCTTTGATGACAGTATTTGACTCCTTAACAGATTTTGCAGAACTTCCTAATAAAACGGCTCCACCTAGTGGATTAATTCAGCCACACAGCAAGACAGATACTAAGTAGCAAGGATAAAACCCTTACACTAAAGCCTAAAAAAGATGAGTTTCACAGAAATGTTTTTTCTGACATGCACAGTACCTACTTTATATCGTAACTTGATAAAAAGGAAGAAGGTAAAAATGCTACAGACAGAGAGGTAAGGTATACACAAGTACTCTGGGATCTGCTCTTATAAAGGCAGCGCATTGACCATTGTCCTGGTAAGATACCAAAATGGCTCTAGTTCTGTGTAGTTAAAAACTCTGATACATGTGAGCCTTCATTAGCCTTTGGAAAAAAGCCAGAATTTGAACGTCACTGCTCTCCTTAGCAACTAGCACAAGCCCAATGCTGTGTCGTTTAATCAATGTTACTGAAAACATCCTCATAATTTTACAAAGATGATAAAAATTATATGGTTGGATACTTTTAAAAGAACCATATAGCAATTCTTCAATTATCTGATGCCATTACTTCACAGCCTCAATTATCCAGACACCAGAGCTCAAAATTGTCAATCAAGGTTTGTTCTTCAAGTGCTCTCATTTATATATTCTTTCAAACACCAATCATTTATTGTCTACTTGTACTAGTTGATGACGGTTAAAAAACATATAGTTATATCAGAAATATCAAAATACTAAAAAAAATTCCATTACTTTAAACATATTCAAATTAAAAAACAAAGCCCATTGCAGATAAGAATCAATTTGGAACAGAAGAGGAAGGACCCCTAGAAGCGAGCGCATTAATAGTAGCAAGATGTAACAATTCGTAGCCTTTTAACAATAGAGTGGAGGTAAAATCGAGGAACCCTGAATGAAGTATTGTACTCAAAACAAAAACAAAAACAGAGCTGCCAGATGCAATCAGCTCTATAGCGCAATACTGGCCATTAAGAGTAAGTATATTTTTCAACAGATCTTCATGAAGCTTCTTGCAAAAAAAGTTTTATAACTCTTAAAAGTCAAGAATATACTTCTGAAAAAATTCTGTAAACTATCATCCAAGGAGTCTTTGGTATGCAAAGGATCATAGCAAGTCGTGTCTTTTAGAAAAGCTTCCTTTGTGAAGATTTCAGCAAATGAGGCATTGCTGTGAAGATCTGAGATGCTAAGTGCTGTTTATAGTCATGACCTTTTCCCTGGGAAGAGACAGTGGACGTGGATTTGACCATCTGCAGATTTGAGGGGCAGAGTTGTCAAAGATGACCTGCCTTCTCAACACAGGCAACAGGGTCACTTTTCTTTTTTTTTTTTTTAAATTCTGTTTAAGGGTTTTAAGAACTTACCGCCCGGGAGAAACTGGCTTAAGTGAACCAACATTTTCAAACAACTGGGCTTTTGCTGCCACACTGAAAAATAATTTTAAAATACAAGTTTCATTAAAATCAATCAGAAAGTCATTCAGCTTACAGTGAAATTCAATGTTAACAGTTAATCCAAACAAAAATGATTAGTTAAGAATGGTCAACAAAATTTGGCCTAAATTTTAATTGTCTTAAGTTTTACTGTGGCAGATCGAGTCTCCAGCCCCCAGAGTACCAGATCATAATAACCCTATAGTGACCTCCTCTGGGGACCTTCCTGTCATCTTTTTTAGCTCAGAAAACTGTGGGTACAGTAAAATGGAACATTTTTTCTTCTCTCTTTGGTCCTGAAAGTGATGTTATTGAGTCTTGTGGAATCACAAGGGAAAAGAATTAAATCAACAAGATAAAAGAAAAACTGTTGTCCATTCTGACAGCTAAGACAAAACTAATTCTAAAGTTATTTGAATTTTTAAAAACTATTTGAACATAATTCCTGTAAAGTAAAAAGAGGGGACTCTGAAAATATGGCCAATACATAAATCTGTGGATTCAAACCTTGTTTCAAATCACGGGGAGGGAAGGACATGGTCTATGAAAAGGTAAGACTTTTGCACAGAGTAAAAAGAAAACTAAGGTTCTCGAGGTCATCAGAAGTCTCATTCTTTGCTAGAAGGGAATATCAAATCCCTTGAGTGATGTTTTAAACTATGTCTTCAAAATATCTCCTATTTCTTTATTGACAAACTTGTCTCCCAGAGCCAAGCCACTTGATAGCCTGAAGATCAGTTCACACCTGACACAGAACATACACTCTCTCAATTTTAATTTCTACTTTAACTATTAGGACAATCACAAAACAGAAGTTCTTCTCTTTCCCTCACAAAGGATGGAGTTCACATTCTCCCGTCTCCCTGGTCATATTGGCTTAAAATTTAATTTCGGTTCATAGCTAGAGCTACACACAGGAGAGGAGATGTTTTTTCAAATACTTTTGTCCATACTGTTGTAGATGAATTTCTAACTGAGAAAGAAAATGTATATTAAACATACTCTGAAACCAAAAGGTTCTTGTTGAAGAAAGGGATGAACAAATGAAGTTAAGACACTGTTACTATAATAACAGGCTTAGTAAAATGCCTTACTGGATTTTCAAATGAGTAATTAATATACCAGGAATACCACCATAAAAATGGGCATGGTGTAATAGAAATAGCAAGTTAGAGAACCTGGGTTAGAATCCCAGTTCTGCCACTTACTAGCTGAGTAGATGTGGATTGGTTTTTAACTTTCCAAGTATTAGTTCTCAATATCTCTAAAATGAAGTTTTCTATAACCCACTGCAGAAGGATACTGTGGACCCCTGAAGAGAGAACATATGTACAGATGCCCAGGAATAGCTCTTGGAGCATTTGGAAAAGCTCAGCAACAGTCAGGAAAATAAAATGAAAAGGAGAAAAACTTTCTTCTTTGGATTTTGCTTTTATGTTTTTCCAGGTTCCCATTTTCTCCCCCGTGTCCCCTTTCTGTTCACGCCTATGTCCCCTACCCTATAGGTGTACAGTCTATAGGTACTACCTTAGCAGCCTTTATGCTTCAGGGTCACTTCCTTTGATTAGAAGTATATCCATTTTGCTTTACATGCTCCTTGTTCTATGAGTCTGTTTAAATCAGTGAGTGCTCAGGTAGGGGAGAGACATGACCAAGAAGAGAGAAACCAACCCTCACCAGCCACAAAGCAGGTGTATTTCTAACAGAGAGAGGGGAGCTGGGATACGGGCAGTCTCCTCGGCTCAGAGATGGGTGCTTAGCTTTCATAGAAAGGTGTTTCATTTCAAAGCTCAAAACTAATATATGTTTATTTCCATGTCCTTAAATTAAGTACAGCTCTGCTTGAAGTGTCACCCATGAGATTGTTTACACACATCTCAAGTCCACTCGAACTTGCACGTCACTTGCAGAAGAGGACAGGTCCGACCCAGGCTTGCTGTACCCACTCTACAGAGGATGCAGCATTCAGATATGGGGCTCTGAAGGGCTCTTCTGGACACACTCAACCCCTGTGCACTCCTGGGAGACAAAGCAAATACAAACCATCCATCACTTACACGGAGCCAGGTCGCTGGTAGCCGTTGCTTGAGGCAGTGTCCAGCCTTAACCTCCTGCACATTTTTGGAGGCAGGTCTGGGTTTGGTGGGGCTTTGGATGTGTCTTTGGAACCTATGGAAGTTAAGCTTTGAATAGATCCACTGTAGCTCTTGTTTCCTAAAAAGCCAGTCCAAGAAAACAGGCAAGACGCTATTAGACTAAATTAAAGCAATAACAGAGTACACGCATGTAACAAAAGGAAGCATTTTTCTCTGAGCCTAAATGGGAAGGTACAGAATGTTCTTTGAGCACAGCAGCCCATCACTCAGGGAGATCACAATCTACAGTAATTACAAAGACATCACCTCCCAGAGTTGGAAAGATCTAGGAAAACAGTCACAGCGCACAGCAGTTTTAAAACTCCTAGCTCAGGAACAGTGCAGATAAGCATTGTTAGTCCCATTCACTGTGAACTTTTCCCTGCTTAATCATGCTGAATAATGCAGTAAGCACACGGACACAATGAGAGCTTGCATCAGCTCCGCGCTGGCTTACCTTCTGCTGCAGAGATGGATCTCAGTGAGGAGGCAGAGGCTCTCTTCAGCCCTGAAGGCCCATGAGGCCCCATCTTGGCCAGGCCTATGGGTGGGGAAACATCCCCCCGGCTGGTGACTGATGCCACGCTCTGGCAATCTGACTCTGCATCTGTTTTGGCTGCATCTTCTCTAGAACTTGACTCAGGACTAGTCCAGAGACCCAGACTTTTCTGTCCATTGGAAGGTGAAGGGGATACAATCCAAGGAATCCCTCCTGATTTCTCCCTAGGCTGACAGGAGGCTGGCTTCGTTGCGCTGTTCTGTTCGGAGGAGTGAGAGGACAGCGACTCGATGCTCCCCATGGGTGTGCTGTCTGCACTGCTGCTGTACGAGTCGCCTGGGCAGAGGGAGAAAGGCCCGCAGGGCCTTGCTGAGCACAGCACCACCCAAACCCTGCCAGTCACCGACTCATCTGTGCCTCCAGCCCCACCAAACGGTGGCGCGGCTTTAAAATACACGTCTGACTGCATTTTCCACTACTACTCAAGGAGGTTGTGTATGTTCCCTGCCCCTGTGTGATAAGGTTACTTCTTGAAGCATGAGTGGGCTGACTTAAGACAAAATCTGCTGCTGAAACAGGACTCACAAGAGAACTAAGATTCCCTGAAGATATTACAGGATATCAGTGGAAGGGAGGATATTAAAGACATATTTCTGCCTTCTTTTACTTTTCTGACCTTAGGTGGTTCTGAGTTACAATGCATCTGAGTTCTCCCTCGTTCAAAAGTACCAGTAATGTCAGCGGCAAATTACCAGCTGCTCACAGTTTTTAAAGAAAGGCCTTTTTCCTCTTCCTGCTAAGAATATAGTGACATAAGAAAGGCTATTTCACTGGATTCATATTTTTAATGTTCCCAAAAGTAAGGTAGAGAAATCAGAAAACCTGTAATAAAGTATCTAAATGTATCTTACATTAAAAATCAGTGTTTTCTATTAAATACTGGTTGTGAGACAAAATTGGGGAGCTTAATGGGTATGAAATAAAATGCAAATGGCTACAGTTAAATCCCTGCTATGGGCTCAAGCTGCCACCCGCCTCCTCTGGGGCTTGGCTCAGAACAGTTAAGCTCGTGATAATGTGTTTCTTTCTCTTTTTTCTCTTTCAGACACTTTGATACCCAAGACATGATGCTTTAAGAACATAATGTAAAAAGAGGAAAGAAAATGACTGCTTCAGCCAGACTTTCTCTTGCTTTCTTCTCTGCCACTTCGACAACAGGACAAAACCTGCCACACAGCACCCAACGTACTTAATCACAGATGCACAAAAAAGGGCACCAAGCTATTTTTTTTTCCTTTGTAGCAGTAATGAATTTGCTGGTCCAAGTACCTTGCAACTACACTGATAGAGAATATATAAATGTTAGAAGGGTTGGTGCAGGAGGGATGGCAGGCATCGGGCAGACAGCCCCAGTGAGAACATCTCTTTCTATGTAGTGACCATAGGTGAGGTGAGGCTGAATTAAAGACTGAAGAAAGCATGTGCCCAAGGCTGCCACACTTACTGTCGGGTTCTGCCAAGCAAGGAGTGTACCTCCCTCTGGGCTTCCGGGAGCCTGTGGAGAGGCAGATCGCTCGAGTCCTTCGGGATCCAGATCGAGACTGAGGCTGAGGAAGAGGAATGTTTGGATCTGGGGCAGTATGAAAAATCTACATGGAAGAAAAATGGACTGAGGTCAATAAAAGGGTGAAATTGCCATTTTCATCATAAAATAAGTTTTGAGAGTTGCTAAATAATCCTAGAACTCTATGCTACTTAATCATTTACACAGCAAGAGGTGCTTGATGCAAAACAGAAATATCCTAGAGCAAGGAGAACTTTCTTTTCCATTTGCACCAAGTGATGTTCCTTCTCTGGGTGTCTTTTACATTCTCCCCATTCCCCAAGAGTGAAATTCAGGAGATTTTCCAGTAATTTTAAGAAAGCTTTCAAATGTGAACAAATGTCTATGTCAAGGCTCACTGATTCTTTTTATAATGATAACCTCTTTCCCCTTCATGTTGATCATAACCTGAAGGGAAGGGGCTCGTTCAGTATCACTTCCCCAGCTGAGCAGCCCCTCGCTTCTGAGAAGGTGCTATCAGGCCATTGGCCCTGAACTGTCACGGAAAGTAACATGCTGCAGGTTGAGGTCTGAGCACAGCTCCAGGATGGTGGCTGTGTGCTCTCAGGTTGCGGGAGTGCTTGGAACCTTAGGTAGGCACTAAACATATTCTTCTCCAGGCATTTAGAAGGAACTGAGGGAAGGAAAGGGACATAGTTCTTCTCTCATAAAACCAGACCAGACATAAATGGATCACAAATATTTAGACCTTCAATGGCTGAATTTGCTTAATAACCCAATCAATATGGCTTTCCTAGTTTCCAATTTCCAGTTATTCTAAGTTCTCACTGCTTAAAAAAAAAAATCCTCCTTTGGGACTGGATATAGAGAAGACTTCAAAATTGTTACCTGATTTTTGTTTTATTTAGAGTATCCCCTGTGCTGAATAATGAAGAATCTAATTCCAGACAGATAAAAAATGTTAAGACAGACTTAACCACAAACTGATTCTAAAGTACTCTCTGAGAATGAGCAAAACACTGACTATATAAATGCTAAAGAAGAAAAATCTTGAAAAGTAAATGATGTAGAAGGAAAGGAAACCATCTACTGAGAAGATTTTGAGAAGCACTTAAAATCTAAACAAGAAAAATCAAAGTCCTCACAAAAAAGTAATTCATACAAATTTGTAAGATGACACTTTATAGGAATCTGAGATCACAATGTAAAATCTCATAGATGATACAAACGCAAAATCAATTCTTAAAAGCTAGACATAAAATCTGATGCCGCCACATGAGAATGCAGCATACCTTTTCGTAGTGCTCTATCAGGATCTCAACCACAATGTTCTGGAATTTGATATTCATCATTGCGGCCACAGTTTCTTCCTGTGCTCTCATCAGAGTGGGACCAAATATGACCCCAAGGTTCGAGACGGTCATCAAATTTTGTTGGCTATGTAGTGATACTCTGCAAATGAGTGCAAAAAATGAAATAAAATCTTCATGTTTAATAACTGTGAAATGTTCTCATCTACCAAATTCCTGGCATAAATAAAATATGAAATATGCAATATATGCACATTTTCCCAAATACTCAGATTTGGCCACTCCCAATCATTATTGGGTATAGCCTACAAGGTATAAAAAATTAACATTAGCTCTGGTTAAACATAATTATAAAGGTTAAACTTTTGAAGGAAGAAGTCTTGGTATCCTAAATTGAATACAATCAACCTAGAGATTATCAGTTATTTGGTATTTTCAAGAGTACTATACTTCTTTTAGAACAGATGGTTAAGAGCAGACTAGCTAGAATTACATGCAGATTCACCAAACATATTATCGAGAACCTACTCCAAGAAACTTTTAGATATTGTTGATTTAATCCTCAGTTTTTCCTACTGTACAGGTTTAAAAACCTGAAGTTCCTGAAGTAAAAATTATGTTTTCCAGGCCACAGCAAATTAGGGACAGAGATGTTACTTGAATCCAAGTCTCATGAATGTAATAAAAGGGTTTCCTTGAGCTCCCCACAAAGGACAAGTGGGCCAATGTATGTTTCCATCCATCCATCCATCCATTCATCCATCCATCCAAAACTGAGTGCCTCCTTAGCACTATACTAGGCAAACAGTAAAGAGATGTGGTGGCATCACTGCTGGCTTGAAAATGCCCTGAAAAGCCTCTGATATTATTGACCTTAGCAAAGCAATCCCAGGAACTATCAAAGATGACCTAATTTAGAAATTGGACATATTGTCAAGAGGAAACCTCTTTCACTTGACCAATCTTCTAGGTTAAGCTCTGCATTTTCTATCTTATTCCCAGCCAGGCTGTTAGCATATGAAGTTCTAGAAAGCAGTACACATAAGATTCTGTTCACTTCTAAATCTGCATCACTAATTACATTCTAGAATCAAAAGTAAAACTTTAGGGGGAATCCAGGATTTTGGATCCATGGAACTCCTCGCACAGAGCAGAAGACCTACTCACTGTATTTTTCCTTTCTGCCCGAGAGAACACTAGCAAAGAAGGTTCTTGGTTAGAATAAGACGAGTTGTTTCCTTTCTATATAACCAAATACGATATATTCACTGCTTACTATGAACTGGAGAATCTAACGTAGTGGTATATAAAGGCAGTGTGAGCCTGTCTGGATTCAAAGTTTGGACCCCTCCAACCTGGAAGTGGATACAGTCAGCCAATTTATTAATATCCCTAGGCTTCAGTTCCCACATCTATTAAGTATAACAACCCTTGTAAGGTTGAGAAAATTAAATAATGAATTAAATAAAATATGATCTCAAAAAAAAGAGTCTTAATTGTAATTAAACTGGCTTTAAGCACTCTTGCTAACGTGTAAGAGTTCCTGGTAGTATAAGTAAACTAGAATGCGATTAGTTTTAAGCTCATTGGAAATAAATTTGGAAATCCTAAAAAACTGGTCTGCTTTGAAAATCATGTTGCTAAGAAGATGGATGATTTTGATGACCAGTTTTCTCTTCTTTGATTTTCCTACATTCTTCTGTTGGGTTACTGAGTCTGTTTAGACCCTGATCACCCTGCATTTCTGCACCTTATTGCCTCGTGTAGGTAACAGACAATCCAATTGCTCTTTTGCATATTTAAAGGTAGAGTCAAAAAAGTGACCATAGATGACCTTTGTTTAAAGACAAACAAAAGGCTTCTCAGGAAGGAAGTAATGATTTATATCATGTATCTGAGTTCATTTGGAATCAGTCCTTTAGTCTTTGGTCCTTTGGAACAATGACCTATCCAGACCACTTCACCCACATAAGGTAGACAGGAAATGAAAGTGTTAGTGTTTGTTCGCAGTTTAACCAGGTCACTGATGATATGGGCACACATCCCACCCATGCTGCTCAGTCCAAGGGCGCTGACCTCTTACAGGTTCAAGAGGAGAGCCAGCAATGGTGGTGCAGGATGAGCAGAACTGGAAGCCCTCTTCCATGGCCCAATACCCCTCCTGCTATTCCCTGTATTAAAGCTACACTATTCACATTAAGGGTAAAGCTTATGTTTATCTAACATTCTGGATAATTAAGCAACAGCATTTT